TTGCCATGTAACTTTAAATGCAGGTGGAAAGATACGGACAAAAAGCCCTCTGTGGATACCGTTTTTAGCTCTCTAGTAGCAAACTAGCCTCTCATTCAAACAAATTAACGGATGTAGCTGTCTTGGTTAGCCATCAAAGGGTTTTATATATGAGTCATGATCCATTTTCAAACAAGGAAATGAAAATGAGCAATGTGTTATTTAATTTTGTCCATAATTAAGTGTACAGATAGACAGGAAATTAGATATTAATTTGATTAAATAATTTCTACTGCACTGTTCGTGTGTATCATTTAAGAAGACGCTTAATTTCCTGCATTCTGGTGACATTTTTTATGCACCAATTTGTGCTTTTTATGCATCAATTTAAAAGCCTTCTGCCACTCTCACCATGAATGTAATGGAAATAAAGAGTCATTAGGAGTAAACCACAGTGGCATTAATTATTGTAAGGATTAAAACATTAGATCATTAGATCGATAACATTGAGTAACAGCAAACTTCTAGGTGTTATTCTCTTCGCTATGTCTTGTGAAACTCTTTTGGTTGTATTATTATTTCTCATGTCATTCCCAGTGTGTGAACATGTAGTGTAGCCTTATTGCCCGTATGGATGGGACAGTGCATTTTATTTTTCAATACAGGATGATCCCGTATTGATTGTATCTTCCTGTTTCTCTCGATTAGCCACTCTGTGTCCGATCGCAGATGAAACAGAGCATTAGAGGTGAGAAGAAAAGGAAATAATGCACCTAAAATCAGTGGGAGTGGGCACAGCCACATAAAGATGGACTTGCTCCCTGTGTCAGTGTGGTGCTTTGATGTTCTGCTCTCTAACAAGTGTTCCCAGCTGGAAAACAGTGTAGTCTGAAATCATGAGTTGGTAATGCTTTTTGAAGGCACCATTCTGACTGAGGCAAAGAAAAGAAATAAGAAAGAATAAGTTGTCTTTCCTCATCCCAATCTCCGTCTGTAGCGACAACCCAACTGCTGGTGAGGCTGACGGGGGCCTGAATAAAGTATCTGTGCAATAAAACCTTCATGACTAAAAATCCAATAAGAGTAAATTATTGAATGCCCGTTCAACAAGCATCAACTTGCAGAAAAGCAACTTGAATTTTTCAGCTGTTATGCTATCCTATCTACCACCAGTATGTTTTATTCATAGTACGCTCTTTAGACTACTTGTTATGAACAACATAAACATAACTGTTTGGCCTACTCAGCCATGTATGTTAAAATTTGGCACATTGACTATCTGGCTGAGGCAGCAGCCCCCGCTTTCTGTACCAGCAGCTGACTCCACTGTTTCCGCTACACTGGACTCGACTTGACTTGCTCTTTCAAGGACACAAACAAGGAACATCACTTTGTTTTTCATTGTCAAGTTGTGAATAGTACCTCTGTGTGATCCTTATTTTTTTTTTTAATTAGCAGCACATGTACTCCTTAAGAAAAAAAGAGAAAAAAGAGAAAAGAAAAAAAAAGTTAGCGTAAAAACACAAATGTATTAAATCTCTATACTATACTATATGAATCCGCTGCAAGCAACAGTGGTGAACCAACTGGGAGTTGTGGGTCCCCTGAAAGTATATTCCTGTAACTAAGTGATGAGATTGAGAGATACTTGTACAAGTGACCTCTGTTTGCATTTATTATGTGAACTAATTCTGGAAAAGTGGCAAGTATAGCTGTTGTTTGCGTAGCAGTAATATTTGATTGCCCCTCCCAGCATTTATTACCTCCCTTGTTCTACAGACCAAAACTCTTATCACAGAAGACAACCAAGGTGTTATCAGTCATCATCTGTAATAAAATGGTTAAACAACTATCTTTCCCTGGTTTAAATGTGTGCCTCAGTGGAGAGACTCA